GCCCTCATCACCTCAACTCCTGCAGTCTTTGCACCTTTTCCTCTGTTCAGATCCAGAGCACCACAGGGACAGGACATCAAGATGGATCTGCTGAGCCCTCCACTGAGCTCACCCCTGGTGAGCTGGATCGTTCGTAAACCACAGGCTAATCATCTCCATTAGCCTGGGGCTCCTGTCCTAGTTGAAAGCCAGCAAAGTGAAGGGATGTGCCTAGCCTAAGCACAGCTAACGCGTGGATGAGTCATGGGATAACTCGACACTTGTGCACTTCACAGTTCTTCGCGCTCTCTGTTCTGCTATTCACCTCTGACATTTTGTAAAGGCTCTCGGTGGCCACGCAATGGAAAACAGAGATTTCAGCAGCACTGCTTTTCTCTGATGAAAACAGAACAAGGAGAAAAAGATGAGCCTGCCACAGCCTTGAGGATTTTTAAAACTTATGTTGCATCTGAAACACCGATCTGGCCCTAAGAACATGTTTAACCCAACCTCCAACACCACACTTCTGCCTGGTGCTTTAAGACTGAACAACAACACTGAGTAGTGAGTTCACCCATCTCAGTCACCATTCCGGGGACAGGAAGGTAATGAAAAGAACACTTCGTGTCACCGACAATGTGGTTTAGTTTGGCTTGTCACATTACAAATGGTACCATTCCTAAAGCAATGGTGTGAAAATGAAAGGCGCAAAATTCTCAGTAGCATGGCATCCCGGACAATCAAACCCGAAAACCATGCTGACAGTCAAGTGTATTTATCTGTGTCAGATGGGCTCTAGGGAAAACCATGCTGGTGTAGGAAACCCTTTCTTACTTATGGCACAAAACTGTTGCTTTAGTACATTTTAAACTATGTTTCCAGTGGAAATTAAAAATGCTGAGGCAGTCTGCAACTCCATGCATTGGTGTCTAGCTGCCTGTTAGAAGATCTGACAGATGGTTTCCCCTCCCTCCACAATTTAGGAAAAGTCAATCAGTTCCAGTCACACTTGACAAAGTGGTGTATCCTTTACTACTGTTAATCAAAGGTGGCTGGATAGAGGTGAATTGACTCTCCATTAGGACCTTTATTGGGAAAATCTTCAATGTGACATCAGTCCTTACTAGGTATCAAAATACCTGCATGAGAATCTATCACAGAGACTCAGATCTAGAGAAAACAATCTCCAGTAAATTGGCTAACCAGATAAATCCTTATTTTCCACTGTAGCAGCTGGCTTGTCTTCCCTAGGGACTAACCACATGTTAAGTTTGCCTTTTCCGCTATTTCAGGTACCACAGTGCACAACCAACCTCATCTGATTCTTAGACATTAGAAGAAAGGGAAAAAAAGAAGAGAAAAATCAGTGTTTGAGGTTGTTTTTTTTTCCTTGATAAGCTGAACAATAAAAAATGCATGCTTCGTGCTTTTGTTTCCCCAAAGTGGTCTGAAGCAAGGCACAGGTTTCCCAGTCTGAAGGACAAATGAGAAAAATTACGTTAACCTGAATACTCCGTTGCAGCTGCAGGATTGGTGATACCAAGAAGTTACAGAGAACTTCATTGATTCAGCCAAGGACTTCTGCAGCAGAGAAAGCTGCATTTGTTTTAAGAGTTCCTAGGAAAGGAGGGCTGTGCCTTTATGGTACATGCCATTAGAGATACACTCTGGTGGGAGCCTCCAAGATGCAACTACCACAGTCAGTAATTACCAGAGCAGGAGGGCACATAGCACATCTTCTGCCCTGCTCCTCTTCAACAGAGGCTGCTGGCTGGTCGGATTCTCCAGTTGCCCTCACAAAAGGTGGCCATAACAGGGATCTTCAGATGACTAGCAAGCAATGACTAACATCCAAATGACACCTCTCAGACTCCTGGTCCATGTTGTGTGTGGCAAGGGAGGAGGTGTTGCACTCCAAACCACTGGCTAAGTGAGTGATTGGTGCTCAACTAACCAAAATGCTCCCCCAGAAACGGACATGAGGATCCATTGTTGCAACCTACTTCAGAATGGTTCTGCCCATGCCTTCAAATCACTGTTTTGGTCCAAAGTTATTTGTTTTTAAGGTCTGATATATTCCGAGATCCAGTCTCTGGTTTGGGCTGCCTGTGACTAATGACTCCTCCTCCTCCTCCTCCACCTTTTTTCCACTACTTGAAACTAAGATCCCTTTGTTGTTAAAGGAGGCCCCATCCTCCAGGTTTATAGGGTCCTCAAAAAGGAACTATCTGGGGACTTGTGATTAGCATCTGGCAACTTTTTGGTCAGAAAAACCTGCTTGCCAGACGAGTTCTGGCCTTGAGCTGCTCTAGTAGAGAAGGGTGAGGAGCACAGAGCGTGGTGACCACTGTGTATAAAAGGAACTTCTCATTATCTAGCCCCCACACCAGTGGACATCTTTGCACAGCTCAGACCAGGCGGGAAACCTGATGTGTTGCACTTCAGAGAGTTGTATTTGTGTACGGAAAAAGAGTGATGTGCAGGGTCCCGTATGTATGTGCATGTCTATCTGTGATAGCCATGATAAGGCAACCATCAGGCTGTGGATTTGCATTTGTGCATCTACCTTGACTTGGGATGTGAAAGCAAAGTGGGCTGGGGAGGACATCTACCTGCGATGGACAGACCTTCTAAAACCAAACATGCCCTGCAGGGCCTGTGAGGGATTTTCTGTCTGTGGAGGTGAGGGCACTTGAAGCCTTGGAAGAAGGTGGGTATAGTTTTTGAGTCCCTGTCTGGCTTGTTGAATGGACATGCCATGCCAAACAGCTGCTATGGGGTGGTGTTGCCTGTCCGGACTATGTGAGAGGCTTAGGTCAGAAGAGACAATTCTTCATTTTGTGGAGCAAGCAGGGAGCTCAGCTGGGTAGGAAAGCTGCAAAATGGGTGTTGTTGTGGTGTCACACCATTTGCAGGCGTCAGGGCTGTGCCTCAAGATTGTTCACACTCAACACTGTCCTTGTTCCACTCCCGCTCTGACCCAGGAGGGATCCTCTGAAACTGGGGCACTGACATGGAGGCTGGTTTTGCTCTGGTGCTGCTCAGGTCAGTGACTTAGTTATTTTTCACAAAGTGGTCCGTGGTATTTCTACTGCAGGTTGACTCCTGTCCCCAATTTCAAAGTGACCTGTGCACGTATGCAAACATCGAGAGCAATATGACTGATCTGTTCGGTGTCTGAAAGAGGAAGCTATGGGTCTCTTGCTGGTGTCCCAAGAGGACAGGTCCTTCTCTCTCTCTCTCTCTTTTACTTCCCAACAATAGTTACAAACTGGTCCCAGTATATATCTGAGCACTGCAGGCTAACACCTGATCCCTCCACCCTTGTTGCTTTACCAGCAGGAAGTAGGACGTGGTTTGGGGCTTTTTATTCTCGGCCTCGCTAGCCCTTTCGATACTACAGGGCCTCGTCTCAGTCTGACAAGGCAAGTGAGCGGCAGCTTCCTGTGCAAAGGTGAGAGGGAGAAGACAGAGACAAGCCACGCACATATGAGAGGAATGACTGCAGAAGAACTGCCAGACTGGAGGCACCTTTCCTCTCATGGTCATACACCTGGACATGCACTGAGGTAGGATATCCGCTGCTATCCCGCTCCCTTTCCCCCCTCCCCATTCCCCTCACTGTTTGATGCCCAGTACCTGCTTCCATCCAACCCCGCGACCCGGTCCCCAGGGACTCCGTTCATCTGGACCACTTGGTGCCTAGAGCTGGAAGGTAAAGTAGGTGATGCCAGCTCTCTCCTACATGGGGGTGGCTGATCTGAAAAGTGTCTTGGAAGGAGTTTCAGTCTGACAAACTGAATCTCGTGGTTGGGGAGGGCTGAGGACGTATTTATCTCTCTGTCTCTCCACAGTCTTCTGAAATCATACTCTACATCTCACAACCATGCTGCCTGCTTTCTTTCTCTATCTTTCTCTATCTTTCTCTATCTTTCTCTCCTCTTTGTCTGTTAATGCGTGGTCGTCATGTTTTTCTTCATCTGAAGCTAATCTTTTATCACAATGGGAATCGATATTATGCTTCATGCTAGCCCTTTAAAAACGCTATTTTCCTGCTCTCATGGAAGACCTAGAAGGGTCCAGCAGGACGCCGTCTTGTTTTGCTCAGCTCTCCCTGGGCTCCAGGCTTGCTGAGACATGAAGGTGGTTCCTTCTTCTGTGGGCAGAGGAAGATCTCAAGGTACAGGTGTCCAGGTGGATGGTGAGAGGGAAAGGCATGGATGAGAAGCCCGTAAGCCCAATCTGTCTAACATGGAGTGTGGCTGTACAGGCTTTGTAATACAAGGAGTCTCCCTGGGTGCCATGAGTGGGTGAGGGGTGCTGCAGAGTTTCCTAATTACAAAGCTCTAATTTTCTGTTACACCTGAAAGCACAGCCCCTGCTAAGGCAGTGCAAGGTCTCTTTGGTGAGGATGGTGCATGGTTTGTGTGTGACTATGTAATATCTTGTGATAAGATAAAGCCTTGACTTTCTAGAACACGGTAAGCTCCTACTGCACCTTGATTTCCCCTCTGTCTCAAACCTACCTCCTCAGCCATGAGCTCTGCAACTAACTCGTTAGCTGCAGCCAGAGACCCCTCTTACTCAGCGAGTACCTAGTTATCTCAGCCCTAGGGCTTACCAAAAAAAAAAAGCTCTTCAAAGCACAAGCCACGCACAGCCAAGGCAGCACTCTCTACCTGAGTCAGCAAGCAGCCTGAAACAACACACAGGGACTGCCGTGCGCTCTCACAGACACATTTCCAGACGGCATTACTGCTGCAAACAGCCTATCTGTGCTGCACTGCAAACAGTTTCAGAGCTGAGCAAAGCGCCCAAGGCAGGAAAACAATGAGGTGCTGAGGAAAAAGCACAGTCTCCGGAGTGAAAGGATTATGAGTTTCTAAGCCTGGAAGATTGGCACCGGCTTTGAGCCCTGCCCTGGGACAGTGGATGCCTCCTGTGAGATGATATCTTCCTAATTTCCACTGCTGAGCTATGTTGGGGGTCATCTTCTCTCTTTCAGCATGTCACCAGTACAGATGAAGTCCTCTTTGCTGCTTCTGTGTCACTTCTGGATGTTCAGCCTCATGTCTCTCTTGTGGGCATCAGACTCGGCACAAGGTAAGAAGTTATTCCCTTCACCTGTGACAGCTGGGCAAGCAGGGAGCAGAGGTCAGCCAAAGGGAGCTATGTGCCATGGTGTGTTGCTGTGCAATGCTCAAGTTGTAACATACATCCAGAAGAGTTTGCAATAGTTACAGGTGTCTTACGAGCACCTCAACCTCCAGGGATGCAGAGAAGTGAATGTCTTTGCCTTTCTTAGTTGGAGACAGTTATTCAGCAGAGAAGTCAGTCTGTACTTTGGAATGGGGTGATGGTTAGTGCCAAACACCATTGATGATCCAGCCACGTTTCTCTCCGTCTCTTTTTCTACTGACAGGCAACTCCAACCTAACTTGTTGGTATGACTCACGGGCGGCTCTCTTCTGTGACTGGAACCCAGGCAGGGATCTGGCTGAAGGACCATGCCAGCTGGAGATTTTATCAAAGTTTGATTTATGTGACAGGTGGGTGAACAGAGAGGCTGAGGACAGCAAATGCTTTGAATGAAAATTGTCCTGAAAATTTTCCTGTTTAACAAAACTGTAGACTCTTCCTCCCTAGGACAGGTGTAGTGGAGTCACAGAACCAAGGGGTTTTGTCTCAAACTCTGTCTCTAACTCCATGTTGGTTGAGATGCTGGTCACTGCTCAGTGTTTGTCATGTGACGGTCCCAAACTGTCTAGCACAGCTCATCTTCCAGCTCCATAGTTGTGTCTGTGCTTCTTTTAAAAAAAATCCCTCTCTTTTGGTAGCCACTCTCTGGACTGAAAGGTATTTTCAATGGAAAAGGATGATGTATAGCAATGCGGGTGGAGGATGCTGGAATTAAAGTTATGCAGAGACCATTTGTCTAGTTCCAGAATGAGCTAGGATGTTGCACCGTGAGTAGCAATAAATAAAGGAAAATATTGTTCCCTGTATCTTCCCGGACCCATTCATCTCTCTCAGTTCATGATGTTTTCCTCTCCCACACATCTCCCAGCAGAGGAGTGGGGGTGTGGCCAGTACCACCATGGGGGCTGGCTGAATCTCTGTGGTCTCTAAGTGTGACATCTCCAGCCACGAGACTTAGCAACCTACCCCAGGGCTTCCCTGGGTGCCTGCAATAAAGAGAGGCTTGGTGTGATTTTGCCAGTGGGTGGGTTGCTCGTGACTATCGGAGACACCTCTGGTAGGGGAAGATGGCCAACTACCTTCTGGGGCCTGATGCATGGACCTAGAAAGCCAAGAAATTTTTGTTGCTCCATGGGTGTGAATCACAGAGACTGCGGCTGGGATTTGGGCTGGATTTAGAACTATGCCACTGCTTGATCAAGGCTCTAGGACACTGCATCTCCCCACCATCAGAAAGTCCCAGGCTTGCTCTGACCTTACAGCTGGAGCACACAGCTCAGTCTGGTACTCCTTCAGCTCCAGCCCCATGGATGCTTTCCCACCCTGTCACCCCCTGTGCCACAGCTCAGCTTAAGCTGCCCAGCCATGCTTGTCAGAGCAGAAGAGGGGTCATGGAGTAGCTCTGCCAAGTGTGACACATGGTCCTGGCTGACTGGGATGTGAACTGGTGCAGAAGATACATCTCACTCAGTATCTGAGATCCTACAGGACTGTCAGCAGCTTGAAGGGGACCTGTAAACCACAGAGGGGGTGAAATGGGCACCTTTTTTCCAGGGCTGCACTGGCATGGTTGTGGGTAGCAGCTGTCCTTGGGCTCTGCATGACCCCTGATATCAGAGTAACTTCTTTTGTGAAAATTTGGAAACTGGAAACCTACTATTATCTTTGGCTTGAAATTACTGAGATGCACTGACTCTTCCTTGTGCCAGCACATAAAATTTGTCTGACTGATGCAGTGGGGAGACAAAGTAGGATTACATCCTTGCTCTGACCTGTTCAGCAAATATGGTGAGATGCAAAGAGAGATCTTCAGTGTTACATAAAGTGTGACTAAACACAAAATAGCCTCCCCAGCTCACTGGAGTTCTCCTGATTTAAACCCAGGGCACTTCACCTACCTGAAAAGGCCAAAGACAGCTGTGAATTATCTAAGGCAGATCAAACATCAGGACTGAGGAGATGCACCAAGATCTTCAGCAAAAACAATAATGTGAGTAATTCATCTGGATGTCCTGGCTAATGATCAGGTGGAAATGATTTGTATGTGGATTTTGGGTGCATTAACAGTTTGACACCCAGGAGCAGAATAAAAAGCCCAAACCTAATCCCTGACTCCAGTTATGGAGCTGGGCTTGACATCGTGTGCTGTTGATATGTACCACCCCTCTGGGTTCCCCTGCAGGAAGGATTTGCTTTATTGTGAGTTGGGCCATTCTGTCCTGATACATGGAGAAGAGGTACAGGACAGACAGATCAAATGCAGTGTCCCATGTCTCAGTTGTCTGTGTTTGGCCCTGATCCCTTCCTCTGAGAAGGGATGGACATCACTACCATCTCTGAGGTCGTCTCTTGACCTCATTCTCCTTGAAGAACAAAAAGAACAAAAAAAAAATCCAACCACATGAAGTATAAAACTTTGTTTCCTCACTCACCATTAAGGCTTATGCTTTTTGGCCACAAATATTCTCCATTTGTATTGTGAAGTATTCCTAAACTTCTTATACATAGGCAATGCTTAGAATTATGAAAGCTTGTTGATGAGGCTTCAGTGTCACTAATGGTAAATTTTCCTTGCAGACTCAATGCTTCACCACTGCAGACCTTCTTACCCTGTCTGTCCATTGTCAGGTTGGAGAAAATAGGTCCATACCTGTGCGAATAAAAGATTTCAGACCACTTGCAAATAGTAAGTACTCATCTGCCTTGAGGTCTCTGAAGCTCGCACACAAAATAATAGCTAAATTCTCTTCCCATCCACCCCTGCGTAACATTCATAGCTGATTTCAGACTTCTGTCGTTTCCTTGACCCCTGCTACAACCAGCACAAATGAACTGCATTGACTCCTGCCACTTGCACCTCTAACATGCAGTGTCATACCAGCCACTTCCAGTCCTGTCCTTCATCTGGGACACTGTTAAATGAGAATTATTTTCACTAGGACTTCTGGCTTTAAAGAGGCAATGACAGCCTTGCCAATCTGAAAAATGCAGGCTGCAAAGAGAGACATTTTTGAGCTTCTGTGTCTCCTACCAGATAAGTGCTTCCACCCTCCTTTAAGCCAGCTTTGGCATGAATCAGTCTTTGAGGAAAAGGTTCAGCTCACTAATTCTGCAGAAAAATATCTACTTAAGACTTTTTTTTTTTTCTGGATATGTGAGTTTACCTGGCTCAGGGAGACATTTGATAGAACTGCTGCAACTTGATATATAAGAGGGCATGGCTGGAGTCAGGGATTGGAAAGGATCAGCCTAGACAGGCTGAGTAACTCCATCTCCTGTGCCTGTAGCTCTCTGAAAGAGCAGCTAGGAAGCAGCTGCCTCCCCTACATGTTCCATTCTTGTCTGTACAACTGGAGACTCTACGAGATAGGATGCATAGCCACGTGAGATGGATTGCACTGATTGCAAGGGCCACTTTCACAGGCTCACAGGAGGAGCTGCCTTTAATGTAGTCATAGAATCACAGAATCCAGAGACAACAGGCCTTTTGACATCAGTGACAGTGGGGAAGAAGGAAGAACAGAGAGGGGGAACTCACTAGCCACCTCACATGGCCATGGCTGGCTGGACTCTGTGAGCACAGCCAAGACAACTACCCTGCTGCAGTGGGGTTTGCAGTGGAGTCCTGTTATCGACAGACAGTGTGGAGGTATCAGCCCTGCTCCTTCTTTCTTTCTAGTAAAGCTGAGGCCTCCAGGAAATCTTCAGCTGGTTACCAACACTGAAAGCAGCTACAACTTAACGTGGAACCTGAATGTTTCCTCTCACTATCTGAATGGGTTGCGGGAATACCAAGTGCGGTACCGAAACATGAGTCGGCCTCAGGAGGTGAGTGCAGAGAGGAGCACTGTGACCTGTCACCATATGAATCCTGGTTTTCTTTGTGTTGCCCAGGACTTCCTCCTGGGCATTCCCTCACTATGAAAACAGTTTTAGTAAAGCTGGAGAGTGGATGACATTCCCCACCTTTTCATCTGTGTCACCTGCTGCCAGTGGTTGGTGATGACATGGATGGGAATCCTATTTTACTTAGTGTTGTCACAAAGAAAACCAGTCAGTTCTGGGACAGAGTTGAAAGGGATGAAAGGGGTGAGCAAGCAATGAATGAGGTGTAGGGATCTGAGACAGGTCATCTGTGAGGGTCTTGGAAAAGATGGGTACGTGAGGCTGTAAGCCAGGGTGTTGATGATGCTCTAATTTTGCCCTACTCCCAGAATGCCATGATCTTACCCATTCGGCATGACCAGATGTGGATGGTGTTTGAGAACCTCTCACCTGACTTGAAACATGAGGCAGCTGTCCGTGCAAGGCCAAGGCCAAGTGCCTTAAGTACCTGCAAAGGCGTGTGGAGCGACTGGAGCGAGACAATACGTTGGAAGACGCATGCTGACCGTAAGGAGGGGAAAATGGGGACTCAGGGAAAACAAGGTAGAAGGGCCAAAGTAGGCTGAGAAGCTGGAGGAAGAAGGGTAGGAAGGATTGTATTGACCAAAGAGCAATAGAAAGGTTGGAAAATCTGTCCCTCCTGATCTGTTAGGTCAGGTTGGCTTAAGGACAAAGACCTCTTGACCCCAGCAGGGTCCCTATGACTTCCAGAAGTGAGGCAAAATCCACAAGAGGTAAATCAGAGAGTGCTTCCCCAAAGCAGTAAAGCCAGATGTCTGAGCTGCAGAAGCAGTGGTCAGGACTGGAATTTTCCCAGATGCTAATGTGACCTAGGAACACAAATCCAACTTTTTAAAAAGGCCTAGATCATTGAAGCCCATGGATGGGTGAAATGCAGTGAAACAGAGCACTCAGTTCCTGAACTAAAGGACACCTGAGTGTAAGAAGTAAAGTCTCACGGAGAATGGAAGAGACTTACAGGCATGTTAAGGCCCTTCCAAAAAGGTCTGCTGAGACTTGCATCAGTCATTGCTGTGAACCACAGAGCAGGGGGACACCTCCAGGCTTGAAAGACAGTGCCCTGAGCAAGCCTCTTTGGTGAGTCATTAGCTGTGGTCTCTTGCCATTTCTTTTCAAAAAAATAAGCAGATAGAGGTTATTCCTTCTCCTCTCATATCCACTCTGGCCCTGCTCAGCCCCTCCCTGTTGTGCCTGGTACTGGTATAAACAGGGGAGCTATGTTTAGAAAGGGCACTGTGTTGCTGTGGCGATCAAATTTTGACAGTGTGTGATGTCAATGAATAGGATACAGCCGCAACCAGTTGTCATAGCAACCAAGACCCAAAGATAACCAGGGTACCAGAGGCAGAGGAGACAAAGTGATTTGAGTAGCATCTCAAGGACAAGCAAGGGAAGAATGTCCTGAAAATGTCTCCTCCTTCTTTTATTTTTCTCTGGTTCCTCACAACTACTCCAGAGATGCTCTGCAGGCCCAGACCAAGGGACAGTAGGGATGGGGGGAGGATGAGGGGGCAAGCAGAGGAGCCAGGCACTGGAACAGCAAGACCAAGAAAAGGTGCTCTGGGGAGATAAGTGTGAAAGAGAAATTAAGAAAAGTTTGAGATTATGCCAGACAAGCCTGAGGAATGCTGGCAGCTCTGGCAGTGTGGGAACTCAGTCTCTTTCTCCTAACCTTACTATCCAAGTACTAAAATACAGTGGAAAGCTGTAACTTTTCTAGCTTCCTAAAGCTTTCTTACACCTCTCCAAAGAAAGAAGCTAATCTTCTCCATCCTTGGTCCTCCTGCCTTTTCAAAGACCCATGAACCCCATGACTTTGTCTCCAATCCTACTTAAGTTGATTTTAGGACTCCCTGATTTCCTTAGCAGTGAGACAGACAGGTTGATGGACAATTCAACCAGTAGACTGTGGCACCTCCTATGTGGCAACCCTTAGCTGTGGTGCTGTTAGGAACAGGCAGTTCAAGCTGTTCAGCACAAATTATCTATTAAGCAATGACAAGTAAACTCTGAAATCTATATCAGCTCAAAGGCATCCTGCACAACACAGCAGAACTAATTTATCTGACCTATATATAATATTCTATTATATAAAATTATAATAAAGGCCACTTTGATCACCTTGAACAGCCATAGAAGGGTTGCAGCTCCTGCCTCCAGAATTATGGCTAAATTTTCACAACTCACTCATTCTCTCTCATCTTGCAGAAAAATCCCGGACGGTCCTGCCAGTTCTTATAATGAGCAGTTGCATCTTGGTGATCATTGGGACTGCCTTCCTTATTAATTTGCGGACCCTGAAATGGTAAAAGAGAATCAAGTTTTCATCTCTGTTCCTAACTTGTGTCTTTTGCATCTTCCCAAAACCCATGTTATTTTGCACTTGGTGTCTTTTTTTACTTGTTGTCTACCTTGCCTTTAGTAAGGCATTTGACACTGTTGCCCACAGCATTCTCCTAGAGAAATTGACTGTTCTTGGCTTGGATGGGCATATGCTTTGCTGGATAAAAAAATGGTTAGATGGCTGAGTCCAAAGAGTCATGGTCAATGGAGCTAAATCCAGTTGGCTGTCAGTCACGAGTGATGTCCCCCAGGGCTCAGTACTGGGGCCTCTCCTATTTAACATTTTCATCAACGACCTGGACAAGGGGAGAGGGTGCACCCTTAGTAAGTTTGCAGAAGACACCAAGCTGGGTGGACGTGTCGATCTGCTTGAGAGTAGGGAGGCTCTACAGAGGGATTTAGAAAGGCTGGATTACTGGGCCAAGGCCAACCACATGAATTTCAATAAGGCCAAATGCCGGGTCCTGCACTTCAGCCACAACAACCCCCAGCAGCGCTACAGGCTTGGGGAAGAGTGGCTGGAGAGCTGCCAGGCAGAGAGGGATCTGGGGTTGTTGATGGACAACAGCTGAGCATGAGCCAGCAGTGTGCCCAGGTGGCCAAGAAGGCCAAGGGCATCCTGGCCTGTGTCAGGAAGAGTGTGGTCAGCAGGGCCAGGGAAGTGATTGTCCCCCTGTACTCAGCTTTGGTGAGGCTGCACCTCGAGTACTGTGTCCAGTTTTGGGCCCCTCACTATCAGAGGGACATTGTGGTGCTGGAGAGGGTACAGAGGTGGGCTGCCAAGCTGGTAAAGGATTTGGAGCATATGTCATATGAGGAATGCCAGGGGCATCTGGGGCTTTTTAGCCTGGAGAAGAGGCGATTCAGGGGAGACCTTATCACTCTTTACAACTACCTGAAAGGAGGCTGTAACAAGGTGGGAGTTGGTCTGCTGTCCCTAGTGGCAAATGACTGGACAAGGAGAAATGACCTTGAGTTGCACTAGGGGAGGTTCGAGATGGGTATTAGTAAGAATTTCTTTTCTGAGAGGGTTGTCATGTTGACAGCCTGCCCAGGGAGGTAGTTGAGTCACCATCCCTAGAAGTGTTTAAGAGATGGGTAGATACTGCATTGAGGGACATGGTTTAGTGGTGTTGATAGGGCTAGGAGAAGATTGGACTTGATGATCTTGAAGGTCTCTTCCAGCTGAAAATGTTCTATGATTCTATGATTCTGTGATTCTGTGATGTTACTCAGAGTAGGGAGTGACTTAAAAGTATGGTTTACAGCCCAACCATTTAAGGCTGACATTTGTTTGGGGAGGTACATCACCACCCAAAGTGATGCAGTTTCACCACCATCATTGTATTGTGCTGCACTCCTGTGACCTGGTGTTGTGTCTTGGCTGAATTAAAAAGCACTTCTGTTGCCCAGGGATTAGAGTGGTGTTACCCAGCAGAGATACACCAAAATTGCCTCTTAATAAGCAGGCCACTGGGTTGAGCGCTCCCTCAGTAAAGAGGACCAAGCAAGCCTAGGTACCGCTACCACGTCATTTAAACTGTCCAGCAAGAGCTCAAGCAAGACTGGTGATATTTGGTCCTGTAGGCAAAACTCCTGAGGGAGAAGCACATTTCTTCCTCTCCCTGGTCCACACAGTCCTGAAGTGTCTCATCATGTGCTGGTAAACATCTGCATGATGCTTTAAGGATCTCTTTGTCAGAATTTCTGCCTAGGCACTGCTTTTATTCAGGATTGAAAGTGTCTTACAATGTTACCCCATGCAATAACAAAGGGAGTGACCTGTCGGAATAGTCACCACAGGTTTTCCCATCTCAGGACAGGTGCAAAGAACAGGGTTATGATGTTCATGACACGGAGCAGGCAGAAATATTCTCATGGATGAGGCAGCAGAAGCTGGATGGCTTCCCTGTAAGGAAAGAAAGAGAAGCATGCTGAAGGAAGATGGATACTGAGAAAAGCACTAGATGCTGTATTTTACCTCGAGTTCTAACACAAAGGTGAGGAATTGCTAGCTATATGGCACAGAGAGAGATGAAAAGGCCTCCTTTCTCCACAGAGTATCATTAACCTGGAGGAACTGGATGGAGGATAATGCTGAGGTAAGTTCCAAGGAAGGATTAGACATGCTTGAATAAAAATAGCATCTGCAGTGATGTAAGGTAGTTTATATGCAAGAACTAGCAAATTCTGATGCTTCAGAGAGTACACTGATTGCCTGCAGAGGTCAGGAGGCTCTTTCCTCAGAGCATCCTGCAGCAAAGAACTGATACGATCAGCCAACCTCTCTGAGGGACTGAAGAGCAGATTAGATCACTTCATGCTGCCTCAGATGACGACACACTGGTTCCAATAAAGCAGAGGTCTCTGGACTGGTGTTAGGCATACTCAGACAGCTTGTATGGCCACTGTGTCCTAGCTATACCATGCAGCATCCTGCTAATAGGGCAGAGACTTGTGGCACACCTTTTTCAGTGATGGTCCTACTCGGGCCACATGGTCCTCTAAGTCACTGTGGTGGCAGCAAAGCAAAGATGGGGCAGCTCACAGCAGCTGGGGCTTGGAAAGGAGGCAGCCCTGCCCAGCTCACCATGAAGAGGGCAGGTGGAGAGGTTAAGGTGACCAGTCAAGGCAGGGAAAAAATCTGTGAATTGTTGGTTGTGCCTCGTCAGGGAAAAGGCTGAGGGTAATGTATTTGCCAAGGCTAGGTTTAATTGCCTCACCTCTATACCTCTCACTGCTCAGTTATGTGTTTCAGGTCACTCAAGAGTAAGGAGAGTCATCAGACTTGTTCTTATTTTACCTTTCCTCCATGCCAGGGTAGTACCCATGAGCTGCAGTGATCTCTTCTTCCCCCACTACATTGACAGACTGGCTAGGATCAGGCCCCGCTTCATTCCTCCTTCTCCTTCTCTTTTCTCAAGGTTTAAGATCCTGAAGATCCACATCCCAGACCCCAAGAAGTTCTTTCCCCCACTCGTTTCGGCTCACGGAGGTGACATTCAGGTATGGGACTGGGGATCAAACCATGTGCTTATGAGAAAGAAATGGGGGAAAGAAAGGTCCAGCTGCACATGCCTGGGACAAAAAGCTGGTTGTCAGACCTACACGTGCCCTCACGATACGTGTGCCTGTAGTACCAGCTGCTGGGTTCTCTGCTTGAGTTATATTTTCTGACCTTCTAAAACCTGACATTCAGCTGAGGCATCTGTAATAAAAGAACTGAGAAACACCAAACCATGCAAACATCAGCAACCTGCTTCCCGAATGGGCAGCCTAAGAGAAAACCTCCTGTGGGAGGGAGCTTGGTCTCTCAGATCTCCTTCCACCCCACTGGGGTCCCTCCCTGCCTGCCCTAGGCTGCCCAGCTCTTCCCCAGACCATCCAGCTGTGATCCCCTCCTCCCATCTCTGAGCCTTTCCTCTGCTCCTAATGTGAGCTGTCATCACGCTGGATGGCATGTAGCTGTTTTCTACATTCCCCACCCCCAGTTTCTCCCTTCCCCTAATCTCCCTGTGAGTATGGGCAGCTGCAAGGAGACAATCACCATTCTGTGCAGTATTAAAGGGAGTGTCCAATGAGAGACGTGGGAGGTGATCCCAAGGGGCATCTCACTTTAAGAAGAATAGAAATGAACTGCAAAAGGTCCAGAGGACAGAAAATCTTTGGAAAAGCCTGAGCGCAAAAAGCCTTAGCAAGCTTAAACTACAGGGGAAGAGTGCAGAACGGGGGGAGGCAGGAGTGTGCAGCAGGCACTGACGACAATTTCTCAGTGCAGAAAGAAGTAGAAAATTTGGCTTTATTGGCCATAAAGGCAATAAAATTGGATGTTATCAAAACAAGTTTATTTTTAAGAATAATGATGCACTGCAGGAAATCACTCATAGTGAGCATGGAAATCTAGGCACAAGGGGCCTGGAAGAATGCTTTAGATAAGAAATCTGCATAGGGCCATGTAGATGTATCAGAAACTGGTTCAACTAGGAATAGATTGCGTGAGATGCATCTCGGTACTGCTTTTCATGTTTCCACCTTCATTTCATCTTGCAGTCTCATAAATCTTTTTCTTCCTTTCACTTTAATCCTCCATCTTCCATTCCCCCCTCTAGAAATCCCAAAACATAGGCTGACAAGATCTGCTCTTGACTTCAAAGTGATAGAAAGATATATTCTCTCTGAAAATCTTGCAGATGAGACATCATGAATGTGAATTTCCCTCCCCACTACCTCCAGCAATTCTTGCCTGGACAGAGAAAAAGTCACCTGATTGCTGCAGGCACTCAGGAAAAGAAACCTTTGGTTCCTCACTGAGTGTTATACTTTGAGCATAACAGTCTCTCTCTTGTCTTTCTTCTCCATCAGAAATGGCTCTCCTCCCCATTCTCCACATCTTCCTACTGTGTGAACAGCACAGCCCTGGAGATCTCCATGCTTGAGGTGATGCAGAAGAATGACCAGGAATCCCAGTTCCTACTTTCCAAGGGAACCCTCACTCCTGATCCTCTCTTAGAAACCAGTGGGCACTCTGCATCCAGCTGCTTCACCAACCAAGGCTACTTCTTCTTTCATACTTCCGACTCATTTGAGATCGAGCCCTGTCAGGTCTACTTCACCTATGAGCCTTTCACCCAGGAGGGCAACAGCAACGAGGATGGCGAGTCTTACCAAGCTCTAACCTCCTCAGACCTCTGCACACTGGCAGAGGACATGCCCATATTGTCCCACAACTTCCTTCACTGTGTCAAGCTGACCCAGGGCTTCCAAAACAGCTCCTTCATGGAAGAAACAGAACGTAAAGTCCGTCAGGCCATGGTTATTTCTAAGGCTCTCAAATCAAGTGAACACACATCGTCAACACCAGTTCTGAAACAGGATGAGAAGGTGATGGACAAAACAGATTTAGAACCTGCTGAAGCCCTGTGCCAGCTGGACACTGACTTTTCTGCCCCACTGGACTTGCATGACAAAGATACTATCGAAGTAACAGAGGGGACTGGGCAGGCAGCTCCCCCAGTTGACCCCTGTACACCAGCAGCACACATTACATCTTCTTTCTCTCAGTCTTCATCTCTAAGGCAAAGCCAGGATGAGGATCCATGCACAACTGCCTTCTCCAGCCAGGTCCTAAACACTGGTGCCTACCTTTCTCTGAAGGACCTCCAAAGCCAGTACAGCCATTGCTCTGTTTAAGATCTTCCTCGAGGAAACCCGTAGGTAGGAAAGACCTCCTCTCTGCAGGGAAGGCTAGAGGAGCAGTTTATACAGAACATGAACATGACTTCAGCATCGAACCCATTGGGACTGTTTTTCAGTGATGCTGGAGAAGATAACTACTTTAGAGGGCTTCAAAACCAAAAGAGGGGTAGGATGGATAAGGTGTAAACTCATGGGTGGCTACATGGGTAGCACTAGTTCAGAGAATTCTGTGATTGTGTGATTCTCAAGGCAAAGTGTTAGTGAAACAAACTGCTGGAAATAAGAAGACATTTAAACAACATATGGAGAATGATAAAGGCACATTAAAGCTATTCAGCGGCTACACAGCTAATGGAGACATAGAAGCCTGATTCTTAGGCATACAGGCTATCAAGAATTCACCTTCATAACTGAACCTGTTTCTCTGCTATTACTGGATCTAATGGCATAGAAACCCATTTCCATACTGCTCAGATGCCATCCTGCACCTCACTAGCTTGCTTCTTCCTTCCCGGCTTCCAGTAGTAGGCTGTGCCATCACTTCAGTGCTCTGCATCTTGGTGTAAAATAGCATTCAGCTTTGAGGCTGAGCAGGCACATAGTCCATTTGCCTCATCTCATCCTAAAAACTGCCTAATGGAAGGGAGAAATGCCTGAAGAGTTGGATATATGATTTTGTATAAGGGACAGTAGCACTGACAATCAGTGCTGGGGCAGATGATGAAACTGATAAAGATATCCCCTCTTGACTGACCAAGGGTGTAACTTTTCCTGTGATGTCCCCACTTCAAGTTTTAGTCAGAGATTACATTCTGAGCTACTCAGTCCTGCTTTGGAGGCACGTTTCTAAGGTCAGCTCAGAGCCTCAACTGTGTCAGCTGTTTAAGCAGTGCAGTGTAAAAAGAAATCCCCATTACTGGGTTAAAAATACTGGGGAAATCCCTTTCCCCTCCCCCTTTCCCCCCAGGTCTGATGAAGGCAGTAAAAAGAATGAACGCACACAATTTCCCATTCTCACTGCACTATTTTTCATGAAATCGAAAGCCTCTCTGCCCTACTGGCAAAATACTGTTATTTGACTACGATAAGCTGATTGCAGAATAGTTCATCCCACATCCTGTATTAGTGGAAAACATCACAATCGTGCAGCCCATTCCTTCCATTGCTCAAGGGGAAACCGTTGCCTAATAAGCAGCAAAGATGTGGTGAATAAGCCCAGAAAACTAGCCCACGAATCAGCACCTTTGCTGAAAAGAAAACCTCAATCCACTCACAAAGAACAGGGATAGAAAAGATTAGTTGGCTTGCTTTTTTTTGGTTTTTTTTTCTTTTTTTCTTTTTTCCTCTGCATTTGCAGATCTGGGTTGAGAAAAAGCAACACAACACAGAAGAAAAGTGGCAAGGCACAGATGGTTACATCCATCCCTGCATTCAACATCCATACTCTCTGCCCAATTTCTTGCCATATTTCTGGACTATCTAGTAGTGGGAAAATACCATCCCTGTGCTAAAGATCTTTATTCTAAAAGATTTTGTATCAAAAAGATCAAGGATATTGAACTTGTTGGTACGTCTGTCGCCTCTGTATCACCCAGAACTGATTCTTCCCCACCTCTCTCTGTACAAGCGTCGAGCTTCCCCTTTGTCCTGTTCCCACGCTGTTACCTGACCTTGCCTTGTGCAGCTTGAACATCATTATGAGTCCCAGCTACAGGGTCACTCACTGGCTTGGATTTCGCCTCAAAATAGCTGCTCAAAGGAGCTGACCCTGCCCACAGCTGAGAGGGCTGGAGGAGTTATTTCTCATCAGCTTCTTCACCACCTGCATCAAGACACGGACTACTCCGTTGTCCCCAGGAGACAGCAGGTGAAAAAGACCCCACAGCTTCCCAGATAAGGAACCACAAGGCTTGCTCAGCTGTTTGCTATACATTGAGAATCTCCCCAGATGGACTTCAAAAGGAGACACTGAATCCTTTTGCCCCTGATGGGCAATTTGCTGTCTTGCATGGGCCAAGGGTCCTAGTTGTGCTGATGGTTATTCTGTCCCAATGTAGATCGTCATAAGATTTTCAATTATTCTTGCTGCTAAGATCAATACAAAAGAAAAACTTCACCTCTTTGTAAATAAAAGAAATATTAAGGAATCTACAGTATTCTTCCATCCTTTGGGGTGCGGGGAAAGGATTAACAGCTTTTCTAAAAAGGGAACTAGGCAAAGGTTTGCTCAGATCAATACACTTCTAGCTGTCCTTCCTACTCTTTTCCCTGAGGTACATAGCCACCTAAAGCAGAAAGCAGAGCTGGAGAAGATCCTGCTGCAAAGCCCCTGAGGACCATCCTACTGCCTTGGTATTTTTTTCCCCCTGCCTTGTGAAAAAGCTGGCAGCTTTTGAGCCAGCAAGCTGTTAGCACTGCCTTCACAACCACGCCGGGCACGAACGCTGTGGCAGGAAGTGCTCGATGTCAGATCTGGTGATAACTGGACCTTTCTTCCAGGAAGACAAGATCATGTGGTCTCCTATGTGAGTAACCCAAGTTGTGAATACCAAAGGCATTAACACTCTCAGCAATATGGGGCCCTTTCTCGGTTGGGTCCTCGAGAGCTCTTTGGAAATGTCACATGGGGAGCGGTCCCCTCTCAAGGCGATGTGAACGCGCAGTGTGCCGTTCGCAAAAACCACAGAACAATGCTGCGATGTTGTCCCTCAGTACCAAAGGCAAACCAAAGCTGAATACTGGCCCTGTGTGGAAGATATTGAGCTAACGGCTGTAGACATGAGTCCTCTCTTGATCTTAAGCCCAGCAACAGCAAAATTAGCTGTCTCATCTCATCTCCCTCTTCACAAGATCCTTGTTCGTAAATTGGCAACGTCACTCTCAGCCCTCTCCCACATCCCTCTTTTTTTTTTTTACTTTGGAGAAGTGAAAAGTAAAGGGTACTTTCAGTAAAGGAATTCCTCTGAAGTCTGATCTGATCAAAGACTTGGGCCCTGGGTTGATTCAAAAGCCTGCGGTGACAGATGTGGTGTGCTTGCTTAGATAGATGAGACTGAGATTCTGTATTTTTTGTTCTGCTGAAAACACCAGAGAAGGAGGATGATTCTTTCCAGGAAGGTTTGGTACCAAAAAAAAGTCAAGTCTCTACACTGGGAAATACCCTCAGCTGCTGGGTTCTGACCCACTGTGGCAAAACCTCATAGTGCAAGCTTGGGGAATCCATACACAAATACATATATGCCTAAAGATGCAGCTAATCCCCAGTTATCTGGGGAAATTTTGGCTCAAAGTAACTTTTAAAAGTGAAATCTAGTCTCTTAAATCTCTCAAGTGGTTCTGAAAACATCTCTTATTGTCATTGCATGCTTTAGTTTCCCATAGGTGCAGCAATGAGTTAGTTGGGACAACAACACTGACACATTCCCAGTCAAAAGTTGCAGCTTTCCATCCACATTTAACGTTTATCTACTAGAATACACCCCAAATCAACTACAGCAATGTATTTTGGTTTTCATGCAGTCCCAGACTAAGCCTGAACCAGTGGCAGAGCTGAAAACAGCTATCCCTGCTCAGCTGCCAAAATGAGCCGAAATGAGCTCTGGCCCAAATAAGCTCAGCCCCAGGTCAATGCCACCAGCTGGAGCTCAGCCCCAGGTCAAGAGTCGTTCATGTCCCTATCCTTTCCGCCCATTTATTGACAGAGTAACTCTATTTACTCTGCTTTAGCTGGAGCGTCATTGCTTTTTTTTTGAAAAACAAAGGGGCACCTACAGAGCCATGGAGGTGTAAGCAGGAGGTGGTGCATGCAAGGTAGGTGAAGAGGACCTGGGGGAGAAGAAAAGCAGATGCTGCAGGGAGGAGTGTGTGGCGGTGCAGCAGAACGCAGTGTCAGGAGAATGGACAGCAAGAAGTACAAGATCAGAGGGAGTCTTGCAGGTCGGGACTGAGAGATACCGTGCTTTGTTTTCATGTGCGTGACCACTGTGCTAACTGGACCCTCTGAGTACTGACACCTTCTCTCCTTCAAGAAATCTACGCCTGCCAGCCAGCATCTGCTCCATCCCTGTGCTGGGGAGCACACACCCTGTATATTGCCTTGCCCTCCAATGGGACCAAGGAGGGTAGCTAAGAAATACAGCAGTTGCTCAGCAACTCCCTGTCCCCCGAGGAGGACAAGGTAAGCTATCTGCATCAGCCTCCTGCGTTGTTCTTCTCTGCACATCTGGAGGTGCTTCTACCCTGACTTTTTCCAGGCTCTCACTGCTCAGCCTGTGGATCTTCACCACCTGCAAGACGCTGAAACCTCCATTTCAGAAAAAAAAAGCCATTGTACAGGGTGCGCTGACCCATTGCGGCAGGACAGTGCAGGACGAAGGCCGAGCCAAAGGGACATGGCATCAAGTTATTGATCTCTGAGGAGACCTTGAGCTTTGGTAAATAGATGTCCTCTTCTCTCATGCTCCATGCGTTTGTGAGATGACTTTTGAAGGGGGGTGTGGGCCAGGCCTCACAGGCAGCAGCAGGTTTCAAAGGTAGGTCTGCAGCTCTGGGGGAAACCCCGGTGCCTACCATCAAATCTCTAACAAGAGGCTCTGCTGCTGCTGCTTCCTGCCCTCCTCCCCCCTTCTCTCCGTCTGCAGTTCTTTGCTTGTGTCTGCTGCTTCTGAAGGGATGCTGTGATAGTGCAGAAGTGCCCTTGTTCTTGTGGACCACTCAACTTGGTTCACAGGGGAGGACATCCTCCACAGGGGTTGCACAGAAACGTGACCCTTGAGAAGCAAGGAAAGGCAGTCTGCGCTGAGCCTGTTTATACCTCTTGCCTCTCTAGAAGGGTGCATTAGAGCAAGCAGATGTGCAGCTTATTGTCCGAGTGCTGATGTTTATTAAGCTGGGATTAATGTTCCAGAGCGAGTTGCCTTGTGCTTACGTTCTGCAAGCATGTTTCCATGTTGCAAGGTGGCCTAGAGAGCTTGGGGCTCAGGACCTGGGGGAAA